AAGGAAAAACTACCATCATGGTAGTAGTTGATAGGCTGACTAAAAGCAGTCATTTCATAGCTTTAAGCCACCTTTATACATCTGCTACTGTTGCACAAGCCTTCCTGGATCAGGTCTTCAAACTTCATGGCATTCCTGAGAACATAGTGAGTGACAGGGATCCCATATTCATCAGTAGGTTTTGACAAGAGCTATTCTTAGCACATGGAGCCACCTTGAGCACTTCAATTGCTTACTATCCTCAAACTGATGGTCAGACTGAAGTGTTAAACAGGACTCTTGAGACCTACCTTAGATGTTATTGTAGTGACAGCCAAAAAGATTGGTCCCTTTATTTGCCCATAGCAGAATGGTGGTACAACACCACATTCCACTCTGCTATCCAGACCACTCCATATGAAGCATTATATGGGCAGCCCCCACCCATACATTTGCCCTACATGGCTGGTGACTCTATTGATGAAGAAGTAGATAGAAGTCTGGTCACCAGGGATCTCAAGACCCAATTACTCAGATTTCATTTGCATAGAGCTCAACAAAGAATGCAATTTTTGGCCAATAAAGGGAGAAGTGACAGGCAATTACAGGTTGGAGATTGGGTCTATCTCAAAATACAACCGTATAGACAGACTACTGTGTCTAACCAGTCATTCACCAAGCTATCAGCCAAGTTTTATGGTCCTTATCAAGTGATTCAAAAGGTGGGGCCAGTAGCTTACAAGCTCCTCTTACCTCCTCAAATATCTATCCACCCCACATTCCATGTCTCTCACCTGAAGCTATGTCATGAGGTGCCTGCTCAGTTCACTCACCCACCCATTGTTGACCCTGCTAGTCCCTACTGTGAGGAGCCAAGGTGCATCCTAGAAAGAAGGATGATCAAAAAGGGAAATAAGGTTGTGGCTCAACTCTTGATACATTGGAAGAACATGTCTAAAGAGCAAGCCACTTGGGAAGATTATCATGTGATCAAGACAAGGTTCCCTTCATTCTTCCTTGAGGACAAAGAAGTTTCTAAGGAAGGAGTAATTATGCAGATTGAGGAGGAGGAGAGTCCCAGCTAGGAGATGGAGGCTGTTGAGAGGTGTACCTTAGGCTTGCTTAGTGGTACCTAGCCGTTATGTTGGTTAGATTGTTGTCCTCTTTTTGCTTTTGCCCTTAAGTTATGCTATTTATACTTTAGACCCCATAATTGTTAGAAAGGTCCCTATCTAGTCCTTTTACTTTTTCTGCAGAAATAGTACTGTATGTTCCTTATCTCTTAAGGAGGAGGATAGTGAGTCATCTAGGTTTAAAGTACTATATATTGTAATGTTCTTCTTATTAACATTACCAATGAAATATACCCTAGCCGTAATTAGCTAGTTTCAGCTTAACTTCTTCTTTTTATTTTTCATTGTTAGTTACTGTTCCATTGCTAAGTCCCAACTCTTCTATTCTGCATCATTGTCCGCGTAAAGATTAGCCACCTGCATATATTGATTATGATTGGAAAGTGGTTCATCTCTTGTAAACCTTACTAAATAATTCATGAGTTTTATATTCTTAGAGGAGAAAATATATAGCCCAACCGACTTCCCTTATCTTAAACCATTATTTTAGTGATTGATGAATTGAAGAAACAATAATATGAATAGATCTGGAAAAAAAAAACTTAACCCTAATAATTACTTTGTATGGGATCTGGCTCCTCTTCATTTTGCCCAAGTTCTTGTTTGGATGTTAAACACATTAGGTAAGAATTAATGGCTAAGATTTTATTGATTAAAATAAGATTCTAATTATAATTTAGATAATTAAATATTTCATAAAAATAATAATACCACAATCATAGAAATATATTATCTTGTCCATAAATATATTATAAAAAAAATCTTTTTTTTTTCTATTTTTTTTTCTACTAGTATTATCTTCTGTTTTTGTCCTAAATATATTATAAAATATTTTATATTTTTTTCTGTAAGTATTTTTGCTATTAATTATATGTGATAATCAATTTTAAAGAGAGTTTTAAATTGCAATCTAAGACTAACACATTTTTAAAAAAAAAACATAAATACTCGTAGAGAAAAAAAAAATGGAAAATAGAAAAGTTTTTTATAATATATTTATGAACAAGATAATATATTTTTATAATATATTTTTTTCTCTACGGGTATTTAAGATGTTTTTGTACTCTTTATTTTAATTTGGTTGTCGTATTCTTTTTAGTATGTTATATATGTGAAGATTACGTAAATAATATTATAAATCACAATAATTAATAACTTAAAATATTTAAAAAAACATATAAAAAATCAATTGACTTTCAAAATTTTATCGGTGTCAGATAAAATGAGATAAAGTAAATAACATTTATTATTTGAAAATAAACTGTAGAAGTATTATATAATCACAATAATTAAAAACATAAAATATCTACAAGACATAAAAAAATTCAGGTGACTCTTAAAATTTTATCTGTGCCACCTAAATTAGATCAAAGGGACTATATACATTATTTGAAAATTGCATAAAAATTAAAAAGTTATATAAAATCACACTAACAACCTAAAATATTTTTAAATGATAATAACAATTTGGATGACTCTCCAAATTCTAATGGTTTCACATAAATTGAGACAAATTGAATAACATATATTGGGCCTATGGCACAAGTAGGGGTGTACATGATTGGGTTGATTCGGGTTTTTCAAATATCAAACCAAACCATTTGTGTAAAAATTTTAAATTTATAAACCAAACCAAACTAATAAATTCAAAAAAAATTCGGGTTTTTTCAACCTCGGGTTGGTTCGGGTTTTTCAAATACCAAATCAAACCATTGTGTCAAAATTTTTAAATTTATAAATCAAACCAAACTAATAATCCTCGGATTTTTTCAAATTTTTAGATTTTTTCGATAAAGTTTGCATACAAACATATAATTAACTTGTGCTCCAAATATTTCTTTAGTCCAACCAAAATACAACTATCTAAGGTGTTTCTTAAAAAAAAAAAAACACAAAATATGAAATGAATACTGATGATACAAAAATATTCAATAAAAAATAATAATGAAATCATCATATAAAATAAATATTGCAAAGTCATAATGAAAATGATCATAATTTAAAAGTACTAAATCATGCTAAAATAAGTTTAATAAGTATTAGTTACATTACTAAATATTTAAGGAAAATTAAAATTAGATTATGTATTTTAATTGTCTAATCCAATGCAAAATTAAAGAACAAATATTCAATATTATTGTCATTCTTAGTGTTGAATTGATTTTCTTTTTGCATTAGTATTAATTTGATTTTGATTTAATTTTTATTATAATTATCAACATCTATGAACTATAATCTTTAATGGACCATTTCGAATTCTAAGTTTTAAACTTGAAATAATATATTAAAAGATAAAAACTATGAAATAGTATAAGAAATATTTTAAAATTATCTCAAAGTAAATATTTTTATGTATAAAATAAAAATTTAAAATTACGTATATAATGTCGGGTTGGTTTGGATTCGGGTTGTATTTTTTTAGTTAAAACCAAACCAACCCAAATATAGTCGGGTTTTTTTTTCCAATACCAAACCAAGTCAAACCAAACCACTAGTCGGGTTTTTTTTTTTTTGGTTCGATTTTCGATTCGATTTTGTACACCCCTAGGCACAAGCTCATGCATGGCCCCTTGATGGCACGAGCCCTTGTATCTAGTGATTAATAGAGAAACGAACTACGTTAATATACTACCTAATCTATTTTACCTGTCATGTTTTTTTTATATCCCTTAATTTAGTCTTCTTTCTTTTGCATGCACATTAATATCCTTCCATATTTATATATGATTAAGGGTAAAATTGAAAACAAACAATTAATGAGTTTTAATTTTTTTAAAAATAACAAATATTATAAACTAACTATTTTTAGTAAGAACGACAAATAAAGTAATCCGGAAGGAATATTAAATATGGTTGTTGGAAAAGGAAAATTATATTCCTAAGCCAAAACCAAAACGGAATAGAAAAAAGAAAGAAGAGCCGCTATTTAATTTCCTAATTTGATTTCCGTTAGGAATAGTATCTTAATTTGTCTTCTCTATATATTGCCATCAAAACCAGGAACAGCACTCATCAACTATTGCAAAATCACCAATACTTCTATATAATTTGCTCTCCTCAAAAGAAATAATCAAAATATTAGTACAAGAAAGTGATAATAAATCAAATTAAAGGAAGATGACTTCTTGCGGCAAAGTAGAAAATCCAATTCTATGTGCAGGGGGTTGTGGTTTTTATGGAACTTCAAGCAATCACAACCTTTGTTCCCAATGTTACAAAGCTTTTCTTAAAGAAGAAGCCAAGAATATCGTGGTTTTATCTAAAAAGATATCATCTCTTACTTTTCATGAAGGTACAACAACTGAGAATGTTGATTCGACAATGAAGATTAAGCAAAGATGCATGACTTGCAAGAAGAAAGTAGGATTAATAGGGTTTAGTTGTCGATGTAAAGGAATGTTTTGTAGTGTTCATAAGTATCCTGAAGAACATTCATGTACTTTCGATTACAAGTCTTTTGGTCGTGTGACTTTGGCTAAGGAAAATCCTCCATGTAGACATGATAAACTTGAGAATAGGATCTAAGGACATTGTTGTAGTTGTTTCGATTTGCTTTCAAATTTTATTTTATCTTTGTAGAAATTTCAATTTGCATCTCTTAATAAAAATCCCAAATTGGTTCTATTCTTTTATACATCCCAAATTGATATGTTGTTGCTATCGTTAAGGTAAAGTTGGCTAATTTCTCCAAGGATAAGAATCAATTTTCTTCTCCAGCTGTGTTGAAAAAATAATTTAAATAAATCTAGTCTAGACTCTAGACTATAAATCACGGTATAAATTTCTGTAAACAGTACACTATGTACCCTTGCGATTAACAAACTAATGAGTCTATGTATTCATGTAAATGAGTAAAAATTAAAGATACAGAAACTATTAGGCTGATAATTGTCAAAACAAACTAAACATGCAGTTCATGAATGTAATGTTTCTCTTTTTGATGTGTTTGAGGTAATACTTGAACAATATGTGAATTCAAGAAACTGAGAAAAGCCCATATTAATCTTTTCAGAGCATAAATAACACCATAGCATGACCAAAATACATACAACCAAGTTTAGTTTGATTAAACATCAAATTATAACCAAACCAGCAAGAACCTCCAATAGTTGAGCTTGTGCTATGCCCCTGTCCGCGCTTCCTGTCCAACTACTTTCAATTCCTTTTGGCGGAAAGGAAAATCTATTCCACTTCTTGTAGGTAATCATCTATTTCAGTTGGAGTGAGAATTCTGCAAGGAAATGAACGACTGTTTTAGTAACCGGCTAACAGAGTGAACTCGTGTTAAAACTCTAAAGACAAGAAGACACTTGCCTGAATACTTTGTCTGTTCCAATAATGCCAATCTCAATGTTTTTGCTGGAGATCTGTCCCTCAAATCTGGATTAACACACCAAATATAAGTTATTTTAGAGGATTCTTTTACTATTATTGTTCAGATAGAGGGGAGGGGGGCAGAAGTCGATAAAGAAACTTTGCATTGAGAACCATTACTGCACAACAAGCAAGCAATGGGGATGGTCTCGCAATTCTGGACAAGTTCAAGTGCGTGATATTTCTGATACTATATATATAACATGACGAACAAGATTTAAATCCTTTTTTTTGGTGGTGCCAACAAACATTTATGTGAATTACAGAGGACACCAAAATCATCTAGAGGGTCGAAGAAACACACATCCCATCAAAGGGGATATTTTCATATAGAATAGACAGCTCCTGCATAGAGGAATAAATTAATCTTACCCCTCCTTCAATGTCAGGATAGCAGTGTGTACAGCATCATCGAGCTCCATTTCCTCCGTGTATCTGAGTGGAACAGGAACGTTATGTTTTACATTAATAATACTTCACCAGTTATCTAACAGGTAGACAAGCACCCCAAATTAATAGGCTCTGTAGTTGGCCAATGAGACAATGTTCCAACATGCAGACAACATTTGACATTGTGGGAGAGAAAAATGGTTAACTTCCTTCAGAGGTATGCCAAAGTTTGACCTATAACTCCAATCGCCAGCACCGACTGATGTCACAAAGCACTATGGGCAGAAGCCCTCTTCTGACTTCTTGTTTCAAGCAAATCAGTTTTTTCATTACCGACAATCCTCTTCCCAGCACATTTGTAGAAATGCAATAAAACCCATCCCATTATAGATTTCCTCCTTTTTCACCCCACCCATCTTCTGATGCCTCAGTTCATGTAATAACCCTTAGCACATCATAGAATAGAACAGATGCAAATCATTGACATACTCACAAATTAAAGAATGTTTCCCCTGCATAAAAGCTGTTCCAACTACTTTTTGCAACTTTTGGTAAAAGAAGAGGAAGTACGAGAAGCAGTAGCAGGTTGCTACAAAGATGGTGTACAGTAAAAGATCAAGACAGTCTATCAATGATGGGATGAAGAATTAGACATCTGTGGGTTATTGAGGAGAGATTATTGTTCTCGTTTTACCAAAAGCTACAAACTCATGAGGTAGCTGGTCAAGATGAGTCTTCTAAAACTTGTAATTGTTATATTAAATCAGACAGTAACTTCGATTGCAGATCAGTAAATGTAAAAAGATAGCATTAGAAATAAGAAAAAGGAGGTTAAATATTTTTTATAAATAACACGATCAACTTTTCTAAACGAATAATGATTCACCTCTTCTCAAGAAATGTCTTAGCATTGGAGACATTTTTTCCCATTGCCGAAGCCTTCCAAGAGAAGTACGAACCAGATGGATCCACCTAAAATGAGAAAAAAACAGCTGAACATGAAAAGAGTTCAAGCAACAAAGGAACCTGCAGGCTGCAGCTCTTTAAACTAGATTTACAAAGAATAAAAGCTCCCACAAGTGAAACACCATGGAGAAAATCTATAAAAAATATGTAAATTCACCTCACGAAGTATAGATCACCAAATCAGACACACCTCAAGAACAGAAAGTGATCAGAGAGATCACCAGTACTGATAGACAACATACCTGATATAGTTGTGGACCCTTGTCATCAAAACCCGCAACCAAGAGTGAAACACCAAATGGTCTTACACCACTGTACCGGAGAAAACAGAAAACAAAAGGAAGTAAGGGATTGCCCAAGAAGACTACAGATGACCTCTTTCTTGAACATCCGAAAGAAAATCATGAATAGATACAGATGAGCATCTGGATTAGTTTAAGAAAGATATTGCTTTGCCTGCCCTACAGTTTATAGTCTGAAGAATCTTAAGTGTTTACGTTCATCAACAGAACAATTAATATATACTCTAACATGAAAAGAGAGCCCATCGAAACGATCCAAAAGTTTAGAGACCAAATTTAACCTCAACTTTCAAAAATGCTTCCAAAGAGTAGCTGAAAAATTAGAATTGACTAAAACAACTGTAGTACACATTGCTTCCATCCTTGATAAAGTTGGCTTGTGCAGCCCCAGTAATCCAACAACAATTCCTTTTGAAATTAACCCAAACTCAAAAATCCACCTACTAACCCTAGGTAAGAAATTACAATGCCCAAAGAAAGGAATTTTATTAATCTTAAAAGATTATTAATTAACAAATAGAATTGTTTCGTCAGTGATAACTTATGGTATCCAACAACAAAAACTAGACCTCAGGTCCAAACAAGTTGGGATTGATAATACGAATACTCATACCATGTTTCTCGATATTTAAAATATGATCAGTATATATTATAGGATCCTCCTAGTGAAGTGGAAGTATGGAATATAAGAGTGGTTACCCTGATTGGGTGAATTCCTGCATGACAGCAGCAGTTTCTCTCACCAGCTGTGTGACAGGGATTGATTCCTATGCACCACACAGACAAATCAGGCAAATGTAGAAGAAACAAAGTATGCTAAAGCAACATCACATTAAAGCACTAGTGTGAGATAAACAATGCAGGTTAGAGGAAAAGGGAGCTCCAATAGAAAACCTCTGCCTCCATAAAGCAAGAGCAAGATTAGACAGCGACTTATATCTTAGCACCAATACAAAGAAGAAGCATCTTAAATTGCTAAATAGTAGGACAGTTATATCAACTGTGCAAATATCACCCAGCAAAGTGGTAACATTACACTTGAATCATTAAGAAAATACTGCACTTGAATCATAGAATTGAGATTTCATAAAAGCTAATTCATACTTTATAAAGTCGGTAATATTGCTCAGCTGACTTTCTACTTTTCCGAACCAAAACTCGAGAATCAGGGCCCATGCCACTGCAAGGAGTAAATGTTGGTATTAGAGAGATCACCAGAGGTAATGCAATAACCACAATAACATATAAAAACACCCCCTGGAAGGATATATCAGAGAACTAACATCATTTGCAAGGCATATATTGATGCTTTACTGACATTGTTAGATAATTTAGAATAGAAGCAGAACCAACAGCAAGAGAATAACATCAGCCTTCATAGGTACCATCTTTCCACGTATAACAAGTTTTTAGTTACAAGTTCTAGTGAATAACAACTAGCTAAGCAAGGCAAATCGCCAATCGATTTGTCGATCTAACTACAGACAAAGCACCATGGCCACAGGAATTTTTTTGTGCTCTATCATATAACAGATTGTACCTGTAGACAACTCCAATATTTGGTGTCAAAGTCTGAATTTTCTGCACCTGTTATACATTTCAAAGAGTCAGGTATACAAGGGTTAACTACAAGGAAATCGCAACATGGCAGAGGGTAAGGAATGTAAAGCAAAAACAAAAAAAAACAGTTGGAATACCCATGCAGTCTTAAAACATGATAGGTAGAAATACATATCACTGAACCACAGAAAAGACGAATTTAACACCAAAGACTACGAACATGAATGCACTTGTTGGTATGTTGTAACCTGGTGACTGGCTAACTGCTTTTGTGAATATAATTTAGAATATAACTCTACAGAGCAGTAAAATAAACATTACTAACAAATTTATATATCTTCAATGCATACACAAATTCAAACAGACTAATTATCTTAAATTAATAAAAAAAATCATCATTTGTTTCAATCTTGATGAAGCTCAATTGGATGTCAGACCAGCCTGACCAGGTACTCATAGATGGAACTAAACAGAAGATATCTTCATTTATACCTAACTTATCACTAAACTGCAAACTAGTACTCACACAACAGAGTCATTGGAAATTTTTATCAACAAAAAGTTACAGTATAAAAATAAAGCACTAGAATCAACTTTAGAGAGAAAAATAAGAGCACCTTTATATTTGATTAGCTATCAACAGTCAGTCTGGCAACTATAATTTATAATGAACATTCGTTCACAAGTAGACAACAGAGGATAAGTTTTACGAAAAATACTTACAGATGCTTCATCAACTAAGATGGATGGTAATTTCTTCTCGGTAGCAATTACAACACCATTAGAAGCTGCAATCATACAGTTGGATATATAAAATCAGTACAAGAACTTCACGACTTATAATCGAGCTAGGAAAACAAAAGTTTGAAACTTCTCCACGAGGAACTCTTTAATGAAAAGTAGAATGACACCACAATACCTGAAGGACATGTGTATCCTATTATAATGTTATTGGTTTATAAAGTCCAACTACATTCTTCAGTCTTCACTAAATTAAAGATCCCAGTATGGAATGCAAGTCATCTATGTTACAAAGCCAAAAGCATTTAAATCAACAGCTAGAAGTAAAACGATGTTACAAGATTTGCTTTCAAATATTTCAGAGTTAACTTGTTCAGCATTCTCTATGTTTACTTTTTTTATAATACAAAGCAAGTGAACATGCTGAATAGAACACAGTCGCGGACTTATGTTAAAGCTTTTACCATATCAATAACTTTGCACTTAAATTAGACCTTGAATTACCTTTAATTCCCAATGATGTTTGACCAGATCCAACAGCAGTCAACGCATGCTCAATCTGAACCAACTTTCCAGATGGGCTGTGCCACAGCATATTACAATATCAGACATCACAATTGAGTAGAAACTATATAATTGATAGAATACATGCAATCTCTATCTCATAAACCTATACCTGAAAGTTGTAAGAGAGAAAGAATACTGACTATCACCCATTGCCTTAAGGACTAATTTTCAGTTGAAAACCTGTAAAATGATAACGTCCCGAGCAAAAACAGTATAAGTCACACAGTAGAATCACTAGCCTAACTAACATCCTTACTGAAACTGCAAAATCACTATTTTAAACCATGATTAACTAATTCACCAAAAGGTAAATACACCGAAAATCGATATCCAGAACTTCATTGAACACCAATAAATATTCCAGTTCTTTTCTACTTCACTAAAACTAATATTCATCTCTAAATTTTAACAATGCTGCAGGGATCTAACGAGTATGCTACTCCCAAAGTATTTCTCTTATATCTAATTCGTATGACAAAATTGAAATATTCACGTATTTAATCAGAAAATGAGCACAATCTAGTTTAATCAATACATAAAAATGCAAAAAAATTGAGTTATAAGTAACCAAAAAAGGATCAAATTACACAGGAATAATTTCTATCCTAGAAGAAAAAGCATAAAACCTAAGTAAATTAAGGCAAAAATTCAAACACATTGTGACAATCTATATCTATGATTGCATTAGAGATCAAATTTCACATACGATCGAGAGGTTGAAGATGATGATGCAAAGTTTCAGCAGCAAAGAGGATTTGCAGAAATTGGGAGTGTAAATGTGCTTCTTCTCGACAGATACTTTTCTTCTGCTTGAGCCTTGAAGAAGAAGAAATACTATATTTTGGACGAGAAAGATGGTCACTTAACTCCCAAAACTCTTTTTGAAGTTTAATATAGTCCCTAAACTAATATTTCAGGCTATTAGGGCATTGAATTATAACTGTTTTCAGCTTCAACAGTCCATATGCTTAATTTTGGCTAAAGTATATTTATTAACGGTGAAAAAATTAGCTCACGAAAATATGATCTTTCTAAATGTTAGAAGTTTAAACGGTTACCATCTTAGGAAGATAGACTCGACTAAGGTGTTAAAGTTTAGATGGGTTAATGATCCTCACATTTATTACTTTGGTTAATTTTGATTTGTTCAAATTCAGCTCATTTTAATATTAGATTGATTAGTATATATCTCAAATTAATGCATAAGAAATTTTATTAAAATATTTAAAGAAAAAAAGTTTTTTTCTTTTTGGTTTGATGTGTTGTATATTCCTAGAATAGATAGAAAATGAACTATTATTAACTTTTATTTTGTAATTAAATAAATTAAAAGAAAACAGACAAAAAAATTAAAATTTGGTAAGAGTTAGATGAGTTTGATTGTCTCCCATTTGTTAGGATATATAAACTCAAGTAATTTTTAGACAGAGCTTTCGACAATAATTCACCTATTGATTTAAACCATTTTAATCTACTTAAATTTAGTGTTAATGGTTGACTCTTTGCTTTGGGGCTTGAATTGTATCCAAATTCACTTTACAAAATCCTACTCCTACCAAATACCATTATTTTGTGGCTCAAATCTAAAATTCATATAATTTTATAAAGAGAAAATAGTCTAAAGCCCCCATCTATATTCGCAATTCCAACTATACACTCCAACTTCACGGGTGTCCTATATCACCCCCTGAACTGTTTAAAACAAGAATTATTATACCCTTAAAATGTCATAACAACATCTATGCTAATAGGTGAGACTCACGCTCTGTGGAAATTTTATTTAAATTTTTTTTTTTAATTCTTTTTCCTTTTTAACTTATTATTTTAAAAAATAATTTAATGTCAAAACGTCAAAGTTCATGAATGTATTTTGGATTTTCAATTTGTAACACATTGATAACATAGATGGTTGTTAATTATTTGAAGCTGAATACATTGAGTTTGATTGAGTTTATGGCTGTGATTTTCAAATTTAAAGAAACGCCCGAAATTTCATGGAAATCGACGAGCTTCCATATAAAATTATTGAATCTATATTCTAGAATTGGGAGCAACTTTCGGATGGTTTAAAGAGTTTTTTACGATTAAAAATTGAAAACTGAAGTTAATGGTATAAAATGTAAAGCATCAACTTGAAACTTCCATTAAAATTAGTTTAAAAGCTTGAGCTAACAATTCGACTTGCCACAAACGAGCATCGTTTTGAGTGGGTAATATATCAAAAGGTTCAAAACGTCGAGGGAAGCTTATATCTAAAATTTAAGGCAATTTGGAGATGATTTAGGTTGATTTTGCATCAAATTTCAAAGCAATGGAGCGAAGAAAATGAAGAACTAAAAATATACATATTTATGAAAATTTCAAAAATAAAGTTTTATTATTTGTGTTGGTCCTCACCCTCTCTAACAGAGTGAAATAAAATCATTGTGCCACGTAAGCGTCTAGGGAGTAAATTATTTTAGTTTTAAACAGTTCAGGGGTGATAGGACACCCGTAAAGTTGAGTGTGTAGTTGAGATTTCAGGTATAGATTGAAGGGCTTTACACCATTTTCTCATTTATAAATAAGTGAGTAGTCGTCACCCATTATAATATTTGGCATTCTCACAAATCTAATGAAAATGAGAAATATGCACCTACCTTTCAATCAACAAATCCATCACAAATGAACCAGTAATATTTATGAAACACAAAAATTAAACCTAATAATATATCACTAATTGACCTATATAGGATTTCGGGGTCAGATTTTGTTCAATTTTTCTCAAACATGATTCCATACCATTAAGTATATATACCTACACCAATTTGAGATAAATTCTATTGACACGCCCAACATTCTCTTCATTAGACTAATTGAGGTGCAAGTGGCCCATCACCGGTCTCATGAATCTCCTCCTTGAACTAAATTTCATGTGGCTTATTATAATCCCTATCCATAAGTCCTTAATTATTGATATTCACTGTGTGTCACCCACATGACCGAGCATTTATGACTGTTGAGGCCCAAAATTTGCCAGTTTCTTCCTTGTGTGTGTGTCTTCAAGCTACTTTTGACGTGATAAAAGTTGTTATTTGAGCTCACAACTTCATTATACCTTCTTCACTATACTTGTTTCGTCAAACTATTAATGATAATATAAGTTGTTGGGCTAAGCTAATTAACCCAAAAAAATACTCCTCTTAATGTGATATTATATTATTTGTCTTCAAATTTGATGGCACAATTTTATATGTTATTTCTCAATCTTTTCAACTAATTAACTTATTGGCATGATATCCAACAAATCTTTTTTCGACACTTACAATAATTTAAAATATTAGTGGCAGTGTCACGACTCAGACCGTCGTGATTGACACCCACCCTAACCCTTCGATGGGTGAACCAAAACTACGTGCCCAACTAATCAACTTAACCAAAGTAATACACATTTAAAGCTACGGAAGCAGGTTTAAATAACAATATAATTAATACGGAGTCCCCATAAACTCCAACGATTTTAAATAAACTAGTCAAACTAATGCGGAAGAACAACCCCTATAACCTGAAAGTCAATGTACCAGAACTCTACTAACGACAAGTCTAAGAACAAGGGGTACAACCCCAAAACTAAATAACACCTTACACAAATAGACTGAGTCCGAAAATAGTGGACTTAAACAAGAGAGATTCATGACAGCTTGAAAGAACTGGCTCACCTTGAATCTGATCACGCTCAATAGTCACCTAGCTGAGGTCTATCAATAGCCGTCTGAAGATGCCCTGTAGTCAACAAAGAACAAGCAAATGCAGTATCAGTACACAACCACAGTGTACTGGTAGGATCACACGGCTATCTCAATAAGTGAAACACATGCAAGTAACCACAACTTTATAAAACAGGCATATACAATATTAGTCATCTTTGCAGGATCAATGTAACATTCTACATTCTCAATAATACACATTGGTTATCATTTTAGAGCAACATACAGTCTTCCAATATCAATCATCATTAGATATGAACGTAATAATCATAAGTAGATATACAACACAATTCAATGGTCCTCTCACGGAACCCAATTCAATGGTCCTCTCATGGAACCCACACCCAAACTGTTAGCATACCAAATATGGTACCCGATCCCATGTTTATGCTGGAACGCAACACCCGATCCATTCAACAAACCACAATCACAATCACAATGTATATTCTCACAATCATACAACAAGAGGTGATTCATGACATACAATTATTCAATTATCCTTATTAACGATTAGGGTGATCAATAATGCAATATTCGTATACATATATGTATTGTAATGAGCAATTATAAACATATATCACACCAACATGAAATCTATCACCTACCTCGAAACAAGCTAGAAACCCTAAGAAACTTGATCCTTCTCTTTTCGGATTCGTTCCGCTTGTTCTTGGCCTACAAACAATCAATAAAATATGGGAATCAATAAACAATCACTAATTACCCGAATTACTAACAATTCTAACAATCCTAAATCAAATTCACGATCCCAAGTATCCAAACTAGGGTTTTTTCCCACCATTCAAACAGTTCCAAAACCCTTCCCCAACAATAATCACCCAAGAAACTAAGTTTTACGGATCGAAAAATGGATCCGGGGAATGAAAACCTTACCTTAGTCTCAAGAATGGTGGAAAACTGTCAAGAAAACCCCTGGGGTCGTTCCTTAACTCTCAAAGTCAAAAAGTGTAGAAAAAAATATTTTTGGGATTTTATTTTCGACTTAAGTAGCGTCTGTTCCGCTACGGCGGGACCCATCCCGCTACGGCGGCATGCACAGAGACAGAATGCTTGAATTTGAATTCAAACCTCCATTTCACAACACACCTGTCACGCCCCGAGCCTACACCCTGGGCGGGACCGGCACCCGGAAACCATTTCTGGCCCCAAGCGAACCCTTGGCCTGGCTTTCTTAACTCAGCGGAAACCTAACTCAACAGAATAACTCAAGCGATGCAATATTACAACACAACTTAACTTATAAATTATGGCCATAAGGCAACTCGAATCTCAAAATAGAATATTTACATATATACATAGATAAGAGACTCAAAACTAGCTGACTGACTGTCTATCTGTCTATCTATGAAGCCTCTAAATTACTGAGATGGATGTTGGGACAGACCCCGCAACATCCTAATAAGACAACACTAAGAACACGAAGTAATAGAGTCCTCCGGAAAGCAAGGAGGCTCACCACTGACTCTGGAGTGCTCAGCTGGATCAACGACGCACAGGCTGCTGATCTGGGATACCTGGATCTGCATCATGAAACGATGCAGGCCAACTGGCATCAGTACATGGAATGTACGAGTATGCAAGCTGGAAAGCTAAGCAACAACGGCTAGAAGGAAACCTGGGAGAAACTGAATAGCTTACCTGGCTCAACTCAACTCAACCTGACTGACATCCTTTCTATATAAGGCAATTTAAAACAAGTGCGATATAAAGAAAGACTGTTTAAAACATGTTATAAACTCTGTGTGTATACAAAGATACAATAAGCCTGAAATGTATATAGAAATATAATGAACTGATGTATATAAAAATACAATAATCTCTGAGTATGAAAATACAATAACTGTTGTGGGAGTTTCTCTAACCGACAACCATCACATAAGAGCTATAGTGATGATACAGCGATCGACCTCACGCTGCCAGAGCATCTTATACCCGGCCAAAAGTATAAGACCTGAACTGCCTAATGGATCCACTAGTCTAATCTGAAAAGGATTCA